AGTAGCAACAAGAGAGGTGTTGCACATGACTCCAGCCTCCTGGCTGCAGCAGCACCCACAGTCACAGGGAACTGGCAGCAGCGCAGTGGGGCCTGTGACCCCGGTCCCTGTAGCTGTGGAGGCACCTGCAACTCTGGCTCCCCCATCTGCAGCAGTCGCCTCCGTGAACCCAGTAATCCCAGATGTGGCAAAGGCACCTGTGACCCTAGCTCCCAACCTGCCTTCCCCCTTCCCCTATGGAGGTGGTGTCCTTAGCCCAGGCATTCCTGAACATGGTGGAGGTGCCGCCATTGGGTTCCCCAAGCAGCAATACCAGTAACAGCAGTGACACTGACACCAGCAACCCTGGAGGCATAAGCAGTGTCAATGAGGGCCTCAAATGACACCTCTTGACAGAAGAATTGGAGAGTAGAAAGTTGGGGTTCTCAAGTACAGCCAGAGGCAGCACAGAGAACCAAAAACTTGTGCTATAGCGCCACCTGCTGAAAAATAAAAGAAAGGCCTCTAATTACCAATTACCAATCTATTGAAAATTGCTAGAATCAAGTTAAAAAAAAAAAAGCTTTACCTAGAGAAGAAAGATTTTCACTACTTAAAATGCACCAGCAGAGGAACAACTCACCAAACACCATGAAGAATCACAGTAATACTGTACCATAAAAAGAAAATAATTCAGAAACCAAATTTAAAGGCATGGAATATTGCAATCTAATCGATAAAAAATTCAACATAGCTGTCGTGAAGAAGCTTAATGAGCTACAAGAAATTCAGAAACACAATTCAGTGACCTCATGAATAAAATCAACAAACAGAAGGAATGCTTTACCAAAGAGAGTGAAACTCTAAAAGAACCAAACAAATTCTGGAGTAAAAGAACTCAAAAAATGAGGTGAAGAATGCCTTAGAAAGCACTGGGAATAGAGCAGACCATATGGAAGAGAGAATTACCAAGCTCAAAGATAAAAATCTAAAAATAATTTAGGTAGAAGAGGAAAGAGAAGTAAGCTTTTTTTTAAATGAAGAAGTTCTACAAGAACTATCCAACATCTTTAGGAAAGGCAATTCTATGAGGAGAAGAGAGGAAGAAGGGGACAGAAAGTTTACTTAAAGAAATAATAGCTGAGAGCTTCCCAAAACTGGGGAAGAAACTGGATATACAAGTTCATGTTGCTAACAGAACACCTAATTACCTCAGTGCAAAAAGACCTTCTCCAAGACACATTATACTGAAACTATCAAAAGTCAATGACAAAGAAAAAAATTTTAAAGGCAGCCAGACTGTAACCCGTAAGGGAATCCCCTGTTAGTCTATTAGAAAATTTCTTAGCAGGAACTCTACAGGCAAGGAGAGTTATATTCAAAACATTGAAAGATAAAAACTGTCAGCCAAGAACAGTCTTTCCAGCAAAGTTCTCCTTCAGATACGAAGGAGAAATAAGGGCTTTCCCAGACAAGCAAAAGCTGAGGGAGGTCATTACCACTAGACCTGCCTGACATTAAAGACCTTGTAACCATTTCAGAACTGAGTTTTGGAATCCAAATGAGTCTTCAGAAATTTAGAAAGATTAGAAGTAAATATTGATTGTGATGCTAAACAAATAGACTAAATCTGACCAACATTCCTCGATGTTAGAAAGCCCTGGCACACTTTCTGGCAGAGACAGTGGTTCTCACTGTTAGATTTAAAGAATGGCTATTAAGAGGTTGAAGGAGATGAGAAGAAATTTAATATTCATTTGATCAGAGGAAATTTTTTACAGTCTGAAACAGCGCATCAAGATTTCTCTAGATACCATCTAGCTACCAGTGACTGGTGTGGGGCGGTATTTGAAGGTGTTAGAATATTTAGATGGTATGATTATATTTGGAAAGACCTAGGAAGGAAAAAACGGAATCCTTAGAGTGTTAGACTATCTCAGGGAGGCACAATAGGAAAAGTTCCCTAAGATATGTTAGCTCTACTGTGCTTATGACTCTGTTCATTATACAGCAGACATAGTTTCTCACCAGGGGAAATTTTGTCCTTATCTGTTGGCCTCCTCCCAGTAGATTTAGAGAAGTGAAGATGTTTGGAAGTGCTGATGTTTAAGGCTGTCAATCAAAGATTAGACCTGGATGTTGCATCACTGACATTCGACTTGTGGACATTTGGTTAGCACTAAGCTCCCTCCTGTCTGTACATAATGCCCATGGTAGCTGGAGGGGGGATGGGGAGAAAGGGCTGATCCTACCAACTTCAGGGAAACCTGGAGCAGATATTCTAAACCCCAGACCAGTGGTTCTCAACTTTGGCTGATTACGAGAACAACCTGCGGAGATTTTTTTAAAATTCAAAAATGTTTGCCTAAGGTACTTTATGTGAATCTCTGTTATTTGCAATCAATTGACCCCAGACTGAAACATGAAGTACTGTGGTCTTAAGAGAATCATCAGACAACCATGCCATTTTCCTTTTCTAGTCAATGTCTAATGGAAGTAAGTAGGGAACACCTGGGGCAATGAGACCAGCCTCTGGAAAGTCCTGGAAGGACTTCTTAAGGTCAAAATGTGGGGGGAAACACAAGGTTGAGGTGATAACTCAGTCATTCTGACAGCAAATAAAATAAAAACTGACAACTCAGCTACACAGAAGAGCAGGCACACTCTGAAGACGTGGGTAACATGCTCTTGGATTGGAAGAATTAATATGGTTAAAATGGCCATACTACCCAAGGTAATCTATAGATTTAATGTGATCCCTTTCAAGATACCCATGATATTTTTCACAGAACTTGAACAAATAATCCTAAAATGTATATGGAATCACAAAAGACCCAGAATTGCCAAAGCAATACTGAAGAAAAAGAATGAAGCTAGAAGAATAACCCTTCCAGACTTCATACAATACTACAGAGCTACAGTAATCAAAACAGCACGGTACTGGCACAAAAACATACATATGGATCAATAGAGAGCTCACAAATAAACCCACAGACTTAATCTTTGACAAAGGAGGCAAGAATATACAATGAAGAAAAGACAGTCTCTTCAGGAAGTGATGTTGGATAAACCTGACAGTCCCACATGTAAATCAATGAAGTTAAAACATTCCCTCACACTTTACACAAAAATAAACTCAAAATAGCTTAAAGACTTAAATATAAGACAAGATACTATAAGCCTCAAAGAAGAAAACACAGGCAAACATTTTCTGACATAAATCTTAGCAATGTTCTCCTAGGGCAGTCTACCCAGGCAATAGAAATAAAAGCAAAAATAAACAAATAGGAACTAATTAAACTTACAAGCTTTTGCACAGCAAAGGAAACCATAAACAAAACAAAAAGACAACTTATGGAATGGGAGAAAATATTTGCAAATGATGTGACTGACACAGGTTTAATTCCAGAATATATAAGCAACTCATACAACTTAATACAACAACAGAAAAAAACAACCTGATCCATAAAAGTGCAGAAGACCTAAACAAGTAATTCTCCAGTGAAGACATACAAATGGCCAACAGGCACATGAAAAAATGCTCAATATTGCTAATTATCAGAGAAATGCAAATCAAAACTACAATGAGTTTTCATACCATTCTCATACCAGTCAGAATGGCCGTCATTCAAAAGTCCACAAATGATAAATGCTGGAGAGGCTGTGGAGAAAAGGGAACCCTCTTGCACTGTTGGTGGGAATGTAGTTTGATATAGCTATTATGGAAAACAGTATGGAGATTCCCCAAAAGACTGAAAATAGACTTAACATATGATCCAGCAATCCCACGCTTGGGCATATATCCAAAGGGAGCCTTAATTCAAAAATACACCTTGCACCTCAATGTTTATAGCAGCACTATTTACAATAGCCAAGGCATGGAAACAACCTAAATGTCCATTGATAGATGAGTGGATAAAGAAGCTGTGGTATATTTACACAATAGAATAACACTCATCCATAAAAAAGAATAAAATAATGTCACTTGCAGCAACATGGATGGACCTGGAGATCTTCCTCCTAAGTGAAGTAAGCCCGAGAGAGAAAGAAAAATACCATCTATCACTTACACGTGGAATCTTAAAAAAAGACACTAATGAACTCATCTACAAAAGAGAAACAGCCTCACAGACATAGTAAACAATCTCATGGTTACCGGTAGGAAAGCGGGGTGGGAAGAGAAAAATTGGGAGTTCGAGATTTGCAAATATTAACTAGTACATATAAAACAGATAAACAACAAGTTTGTTCTGTATAGCACAGGGAACTATATTCAATATCTTGCAGTAACCTATAATGAAAAAGAATATGAAAAGGAATATATGTACATGTATGACTGAAACATTATGCTGTACACCAGAAAGTAACACATTGTAAACTCACTATACTTCAATAAAAAAAATTGTGAGGGGTATGTACCACATTTGTCACAGGCAAAGCCCATTAACAGCTCCCAGGAAATAAAAATAGAATCTGGGTAAAAAAATAGTCTAACCTTTTTTTCCTTTGCCTTTGTGCATCCTCTAGTTTCAGTTGCTCACAGGGTGCTGTGTGCAGAGGTCTTGCCCCCAGCCCTTCAGACCAGATTTCTTAGCGCGAAAGGCTGCGCGGACCACCTCAGCTCGGAGGGCCGCGTGCTGAAGCGCCGCGCACAACACTCAATGCAACATGGCGGGCGCGGCCGGCCGTGGTGGGCG